CCCCTCTTGGCCTAAAAAACCCATTCATACTCCGCCTGTGGCTGCTTCATCGCCAACGTGAAGTACAGGCGCAGAGATGTGAGCTTGGAGTCAGGCATGCGTGAGCAGGGGCTTTGGGGGGTTATCCGTGAATGTACTCACCTCGTATTTCCAGTACTGAGACCCCGGGGACCCTGCTCCCTCCAGGGCCCCTGAGGAAGGGGCAGAAACTATTTTCAGGCTCTAGGACCCTGAGCTCCCCGATTCCAGTGCCCAGGGCACTGTGGGTGTGCAGGGAGGGGGAGCACCGTTGGGAGCAATTTCTGTGTAATGTAAATTATTTAAGAAATCTGCTTTGTCATTTTATTAGAAAGAAACCAGAGAATGACTTTCCTAGATAACCCCGCTTTTATAAAAACTCTTTGTGTATTTGACATCTCTTTCCTTTCTGTGTCAACCGCCCCCGCCCCAGCCCCAGCCCCTGCCCCTTGACACTCCTCTGGTCCTCGGGGCCATAGGCTTGTGGTTTGGGGCTTGGCTTTGTTCCTCACATCCACCTCCGCTTAGCCTGCCCCCGCCCCAGCTCAGAGAGAACATGAGTACAGGGAACACTCTCTCCACTTAGTTCAGAGCAAAACACATTTTTAAAGGCAAATAAGGTTTTTATTTAAGTGACAACGTTTGAGAGTTAAAAACCAGCTCACATCAAAATCAAGACCAGGTGTAAAAATCTTGGAACTCCGTAATGCTGTTTTTGTCTTGTTAGAAATCTGAGAGTGTACGTGTTCTCTGCTAACGGCTTTTGTACAAGGGCAGCCATTAGGAACACAATAAACCATTTCACCACAGAACCATCCGTCACAGGGAATACTGAAAGTCGCACACTGAGGAACGGTCAGACCACGGACAAGGCCAGACTGGCTGCCACCACCGAGTAAACAAAGAGAAAAGGACGGCGGGGTCTGAAGGCAGGGGGTCCCCCATGCACAGGCCACCCTCCTCTGGCCTACAGCTCCTTGGTGTCACCTGCCTCTCCTTTGTCCCAAAGAAAGTGCAGTCACACTGATTTTCTTCCCAGCCACTCTGGCGGTTTCTCAGCAAGGAGAACAGACTTGAGGCCAGGCTGCTCACTATATTTTAAGATAGTTCCCCCCAAGCCCAGAAGAAAAGGAAGGAGGGGCTGTTTCTTTTGGCTGAGCCAAAGGGAAAAGGTTTCCAGAGCACTTGGCACCCAAACCCCCGGGATTTGGTGGGGAAACGGTTGTTTAAGGCGGGGTCAACTGCAAGGCTCCTTCACAGTCAGGGCGCCCCTCCCGGGTGGGGCTGCACCTGAACTGGGTGGGAAAGTGTCACTGCAAAACTGGCGCCACCTCTAGGCCCACTTTCACCCTGCTTGGGTCGGGCTTTCCTTTAAAGACTGGTGCCATGTTTTGTCTGCTGGACACTTCCAGGGCACAGGTCTGGGCTCCAAAAAGGACAGTTTAAAAACCATGAGATTCAGCCTCCCCCTCTTTCAGAGAGCTCTCGCCCTCTGATGGCTGAAATGCTGGGCTTCAAACACGTTTGCTGTAGCCCAGCACACAGACAGGAGGGTTGTTCATCCGGATGCATGAAAAAGAGGCAACTTTATGTAAATAGATATTTCGTGGAGCCCAAGGGAGAAGAGGAATCTTTAGGGAAAAATCCATGATGCTGGCGCTGCAGGGTCCCGGCTAAGGTTGCACACGGAACCCCCCACTGGGCAAGTGGAGGAGGAAAGTGACGGCCAGCCCTCGGCAGCCACCGGACAGGAAGAACAAACATGCCACGCGAGAAACGAGGAGCTTTGGTCAGGCGGGAAGATCTGTTCTCCAGCTGCTGGGGACAGGCACACAGGAGCTAGAAGGATTCTCTAGAAAACAGCTGGAGGGGGTCACAGAACTACTCAAGGAGAGGCAGCGGCACCCCCTCCAGAGAACGACATGACTTGGTTCTTTTATTTATTATTTTTTTCTCCAACTTAACTGGACAAACAAAACTGGACAAACCACTCGTATAGAAAGTGCATGTAGATTACGCAGTTGCCGTGAAAGCAGCGCTGGGGCTGAAGCTGTCTCGTCGCCGAACAGAGCCGCACGCGCACACACTCGCACACACCAGCTACAGCTCCGAAGGTTGTTCACACCATCCCACTGTACACCATCAGCATCTCACGTGGGAGTGGGCGAAGCCCCAGCCTGGGGCTCCAGAAGAAGGGGGG